CCTTTAAATGTGTGAGATAAAGAATTGATTCACCACCTATCCCAGAAAGAGGAATACAGGTAAGAATTTCAATTTAATTTTGGAAACGAAATTTGGAAACTCTTCTAAGGTAAATATCAACATGAATTCGGAGTCATATCAAGATAGTTTCTGTAGGGGCAGATATTCAGTGTGAGGATCTCAGCTAAGGATGTGTGGAGACCCGGGAGGATTCAACTCTTGTTACCACAGAACTGCTTTCGGACATGCCCTCTCCCCTTGCAGTCTGCTGTTACCACAGACTCCTGCAGAACTATTCATTCAGGCTCAGGGTTCCTGAGGCCTGGCCTGCTGGAGCTCCTGAAGGTGGTCTCCTCCTCACTGCATTCCCTGCTGTGCTTGACAGCAGGCTCTCAGCCTATGCTTTCCACAGAGTTCTGCATGGAATTCAATATTCAAGGATGAATTTCCTCTTTATCTATTAAACTGTGCTAACAGTGGTATAAGAAAGAAAATACAGGTGTTTTCTCCATCTGGCTCACCACTCACTCAAAATAAATGGACAATCACAGGGCAGACGTTATAGTGCCCAGTTTGTAGCCTCATACCTGCACTGGGGTTACAGTGGCTGAGCCACAGAAAAAATTCATGAGCAAGGCAGTGTGTGATGTCCTTATTCAGGAAGTATCAGTTGCTATAAAAGGTGTACCTCAGCCCAGTTTATTTACATCATATAGAAGAACCATGTATAAAGAAGAAAAAGCACCAGGTTGGGAGCTCAGATATGTTACTTGTTTGCTCTAACCTTCTAGACAAGTTGTTCTTTGAATATAAGTTTGGTAAAACTCTTTGAAAGCAACTCAGCAAACAATATAGATAAAATTTAACTTTATATCTTATTACCTATAATACCATTTCATCTACACAAATATACATACAAGGATGTTTTTCAGTGTTTTTTATAGTAAAACTGGAAACGTAATTATTCACTAATAGGATACTGAGTGGTTAAAGAGTGCTATAACCATAGGCGGGATAAAAATGTAGTCATTAAAAGTGATGTCTATATCTGCTGACAAGGAAAGATATTCATAGTACATTGTTTTTTAAAAGGCTACAAAATAGCATGCATGATTTTTGTAGTAAAAACACACAACGTAAGTTTGGAAGGAGATACACTAACATGTTAACAGTGGCTCTCACTGGAGAACAGGGCTCCATTTTACTTTCATTTTCTTCTTTCTACCTTTTAGATACAGTCTGGTCTGGTTTGAATTTAGAAAAGTCAATTTCTATTATAGATAGTTCCTAGAGAAATGTCAGTTGTATGCATATATACCAAACCATGCCATGGAAAGGGTAGAAAACCACCTACCTAAGTAGAATTAACATGAGGAGAGAATAAGAAGGCGGAGTCAAAGGCCCAGACGTAATTGAACCACATACAGAGCTGGAGCCATCTTCGTTATGTGGGACTGTGGATCCAATGTCGCCTTATCTTCCAAATAGCCAAGCTCAGTCACTTTTATTTGAACTCTCCTAATATTTAAATATTGGCAGCTTAGTCAAATGGTGTTAAAATACAAGTTACCAAAGAAGGCATACAAATGGCAAATAGCATGTGAAAAACACACATTATATGACGTTCTGGAAAAGGCAAAACTATAAGGTATGGAAAACAGATCATGGTTGCCAAGGGTTGAGGGTCTGACAAGAGCAGGTGGCATGAGGGACTTCCTGGGGGTGGTGGAAATGTTCTGTCTTGATTGTGGTGATGGATACATGCCTCTACTTGTCAAGCTTCATGGATAGGACCAGAAAAAGCGAGATAATTGTGTCCTTGGGATGGTCAGTTTGTGACCTCTCTGTATTACATTCAGAACCTAGTTTCCATATGATGAACTGCTCACACCCATTCTTCCACCTATAAGGTGGGAAGGATGAACTAAGTTAGTGGCGTCCATTCATCAATAGGCTTTATCAGTCCACAAACTTATCAGCACCATACTCTTCATTGAAGCAGGATCTTAACTTTGCAAATCGTTTCATTAATATACTTGAAATACCTAAGGATACAAGTTTATCTCACTTTGTATATTTAGAAACATTATGTAAAGGAACTCTGCAAAGCTAATTAACACTAATTTTTGGTGTCTATTTCCCAAATCTTTCCTTAAGTCAAAGTTTTTGTGTTCTATTATTCAGGTTGTTGCTTTCTCCTGTAATCTCTAATAAACTACTCTTCTGGAATCCCCACAGTCTCTCCTGGCATCAGAGGAGCTGCCCGTGGTCTATGAACAATCTGCATGGAACACGGAAGAGTTAGGCCCCTTTCTACGCTTGTGCCTCATGGATCAGAATTTCCCAGCATTTGTGGAAGAGGTGGAAAAGGAACTAAAAAAGCTGACAGAGCTGAGCAACTAACATTCTATATACATACAGAACTGAGGAACTTCAGTGCAATGGAAAAAATGCTTCCTCCTAAGACTAGAGAAGATACTAGAATAAAGAGTATTATTCCAACACCTTTTATCAGTTTTATTTTTAAAAACAGGTGAATCCACTTTTTTATACATCATTGCACTTCAACAGTTACACAAAACACAAGTACATGCATCTACCATTACGCACCGTGTGAGAACCCTGCCGGGTGTGAAAATCTACACTCAATCAATGAAAAAATACAGTGTCAACCTCAAAGTATAACTAGTTGCATAGAATACCATGCTGTAACATTTCAAGGTCATTGAAAACAAAAGGTAAATTATAAAAGTTTGCCTTAATTGAATGTACAATCAGGTTCAACACATCAGTGCAAAAGGATTTAAGAATTTACATGATTTAACAAAAGAAAAAATAATCACTTAAAAAGCAATCATACATATATACTGCAGTTCATTACATCCATTCAGTGGACTGCTCCAGCTTCTTATCAAAGTCATAGGTTAAGCCCTTAAAATTATAGATTTCAGTTTATATTACTCATCTTTATGTACCAGAACTGAACAGTTTCCTCATCTGACAACATACAGTAAGGAATGAGTATCAGCAGCTTAAAAATGAAACAAGCATTTATTTTATTTTGGATTTCTCCCACCCCAAAAATATAAATATATATATATATTTATATACTGTATATATCTGTAGGTTTTGCTGTACTTTACAAAAATGTGTCACTAGATGGCAGCAGTGCATTTTAGAGCTTTGCCAATTTAACAGCTGCATTAAGTAAAAAACGGTGCATGCATGATCTGATCCTCAGAGGACCTTTTTACTTCTATTTAAATATTCTACCAAAGGGGGGAAAAAAAAAGCAACATTCACAGCACATCAAGCCCAAAATAGTTTACACCTTCTACACTGAAGCATTGTTTAAAATGTACCTGGCTAGGTCACCCTTACAGGAGAGGCTAAATAAGGCATGCTTTAGACAGTCATCATGGTGCTGCTCACTTGAAAGGGAAAGAACCAAAGAGGTACAAGCAGAAAATTTAGCAGGTCATGTTGCCACCAGTTTCAGGAACCTAAGGATCTGTGAAGGAAGAGTATTTAGAAATTAAAAGAGAATATACACTTAAAAGAGAATATGCACTGTTACTTAAGACTACACCAAGTGCCTATAAAACAAAGCTTTGGTTCAAACAGCATGCTCAGGGATGCGGTGAGGAATTCAGATCTCCACGTGCCTAACCGGAAGGTACTCCAGCCCAGCTGTCCCTGGCCACCATTCTTGCCTTGCCCTCAGAAGCAAAGTGGGACCAACTGGCCTCAGAATACCTAAGAAGGCGACAATTTCACTTTTACCTCTTTTTAAAGATGTAAGTAAAGTGGTAAAGTGATGTTTTGAAACATCATACATACTCTGAAAAGCATTTATGTAAATAAGTGAAAGCTCAGCTGAAAATCTTCCTTTCCAGCTGCTACACTGGACAACTTGCTCCACCAGTATTGGCTGCTCTTGAAATCAACTAAAAGATCTTGCAACATAACACCAACTACTGAAGAATTTTTAATAAGGTCAACAGAGGCACATTCATTTGAATATAATTTTTTAAAATTTCTAAAGAAGGCCATACTTACGTTACAAGTAGTACTTAATTTGTGTTTCTCTGGCGCAAGTTTTTATCTTTGTGATTGTTGGTAGAGTTGGTTTTCCTTTGGAGGAAAAATTGCATTTACAAGAGTTAAACTCAAGGTCAGTAGCAACTTTTGAAAGTATAACACACGGAAATACAGGGAGTCTTCCACTTACTGCCATCCCTGGTATAGTAAGTTTTGCACAATATTAATACACAATTAATATTCCTGTGTAAAGTGCCTACATACCTTAAATTAATAGATCCTTTTGACTCCCAAGGCAGACAATATACTGGTAACTTTCCCTTTGACTTGTAAACTATAATTACTATAAAGGTGAAATAGTAGTTTTTTCTCTACTCAACACCACTGTCTCTTCTCAAATGATAAAAGATACTCAATTATATACAGGCAGTGCTGTGCCCTCTGGCACTTAATAATTTGGGCACTGTTTGCCTGCCTCTGACTTAGTCCCCAACTCTAGGAGATTCTGCTAATCTTGGATTGATTCAAAATTTGCAATTTTGTCTCTTGGATACATGCAATTTAATGGAGCCAGGCAGTTTATCCATGCTATAGTCGAGCTTGAAATTAACAAAACCTGAAGTCTCAGATATACTGGTGATTTACCCCACATTATCAATTTAAACATATGGGGTGTGCAAAATTTTAAACATTTTTTTTGCATGGTATTCCACTTTGTATTGCTACTAAAAAAACTGTACGGCCTGTCCTGGGAATCAAATGGCAATCAGTCAACTCTCAGTCAACTCCATGTCTGGCTAAGAAGTCCACACTGCAACACTGTTTCCACTCACTGTCTTCCCCTACAATCTTAGCTAGCCCTTTGATTAAACGGCAAATACATAATAACCCAACCAGAAACTACTGAATCAATGTCGAATAAACTACTTACATTGGCCCAGCTGGTTCATCGTCTACACAGGTGTTCAGTTTTTAATAATCCATTGAGAGACAGAAGAAGAAGGGAGAAAATTGTGAGACTCTGCATAAGGATTAACAGAACAGCAAACGGCAAGTGGCAAACATGGCTATTCATAGCATTTATTCAAGGCCATTCCATCTGGAGGTGCAAAACACTCATGGAGTTATTATTTCTAGATTCAGGTTTTTAATGGCAGGTATGTTGTTTCAATGATTTTAGTTAACACTTTGAATGCTTGTCATGAAAAACTGCAACTGTAGCGGACAGATAGGCTGCAATATCATTATACTCATCTTGTCCCCAAGTTCCAGTGGTTCACTCTTAAGTAGATGAGAAGACAAACCAACATTTCAGTTGTAAAATCCTGCTGTTTGTTTTCTTGTGGTGAATGCATGTATAGTTTTGGCTCAATCCTGCAATGCAGATGGATGTGTATCTATATGTTTACACACATCCTCACTTCCCCAAAGGACACTGTTCTTGCTGTTTTGTTATCTTTAGGAGAGTCTTTAGTCTGGAGAATGAGATAGAGGAAGCCACAATGGTTCAACCTAATACTGGGTCAGACAGGCTAGGCTATGCCAGCAACAAGTGTAGGTAGACCAGAGGATGTTCTGTGACAGACCAGGGAAAGCTGAATGGTGCTGACATCCCTCTAGAAAAGACTTCAGATAAAAAAACTGGCTCACTCTTGTGCCCTGGCCAAAACCAGAACCCAAACCCAGATGAGCCATGAGTTATCTTTTTTCTTTTTAATCGAAAAGCTTACATTATCTGAGTTTAGGTGCCTTCTTAAATTGGTATTTTCTGATTCTGATTTGTAAGTTTTTCCTTCCTGTTTCAACTAAGGGCAACTTGGTCCCCTTTAACCAGGGATATATGTATGTGTGTGTGTGTGTGTGTGTGTGTGTGTCTGTACACACACACACAGATTTTTTTTTAAGGCCCACAAAGGCGGGGAAAAGCAAGTTAAGTGTTCTTAGTTTCTTTTTATTTTACAAACGTCAGGTAGACTAAATGATTTAGAACTGAAGGCTTCTAGAAAAACTCTCAGCAGGATTCCACAAGGGGGCTTGGTGCACATGAAGCAGTTATGGAGATTACAGTCTCAGTGTAGGCATCTGCAGGAGCACACGTCAGGAGTAATGTCTGTCAGAGGGAGACATTGCTCCACCTGTTCCTTTGAGGCAACGGAGAGGCAAAGCCACCGCCAGCACACACAGTGACTGGAGCAAAAAAAGATTTCAAACAAAAGAAAAAAAACAAAACAAAACAGAAACAAAACTAACCACAAACCAGTGACTTAGCCAGAACAATAGGCTAGCAACACACCAGTGTCCACAGGATTCTACTACTAACAATAGTACACTATCGAACAGTACAGAGAACAAACTTAAGACTCAGACACCCAAGACATCTGTGTGCTGTGTATACAGTGGAGATATACAAAGACGTACCAGGTACTGAGACCCACGAGCCCAGCCTAGATCCTCCCTCACCACAACACCCTAACGCTCTCAGCATCCTGGCCAAGCCAGCTCAGCTACATGCTAGGAACTAAGCACTTCTGGGACTTACAGGAAAGGACACAGGAGCAAACTTAGAATATTTTTAGTGCTCTGGCTGTGCACCCGAAAACACAGAATTCTAAAGCAAGGTAGCTGATTCAAGAATATCACCAATCTACTCCCAATTTTAAGAGAAAAAAAGGGGAGAGGGAATCGCGATAGCCAAGCTAATCTTTTCAAAGCGTGACACTTCAGCACTAACCCAAGCACTTCACACCATGAGCTTTTCTTTCTTCAGTAATTGGGATATATGTACGCCCTGGTGTCTAATAACGTCATTTTCCAGCCCAACAAGGCGATAACGTGCAAAGGGCTGCATGAGGGGTTTTAGCAACAGTGGCTCTGGTGTAGCTGCCATGCCTGAAAGTGGGAGCAGTTGCTGTTCACACTTGTGCCTACGTCTCACGAGCCCCTTCATCTCTCTCCCCAAATCCACTTCCACATTTATAAGGAACAAAGAAAAGAGCCTCAAGGCTCCCACTTTCCTGGACTGAATCGCTATCTGCAGCACCACTCTCCCATTACAGGTCAAACAAAAACAACAACTTGACCTCTAACAAGGAAATCAGGAGAGAGGGAAGAACAGAACTACAGATAAAAGGTAAGAAAATGAAAGTAAATGAGGATTAAACAGCAAACTGAAATCCAAATTAGTTGTGAAAGTGAATGAAGTAAACTTGAAGAAAAGTGTTAACATTATGAACTGTGCATCGTATAGACTGAAGCGGAGATTAAACAAACTCCAAAAGCATGCATATCGCTCACTTACCACCATGTTTTAAGGGTTTGATGCAATTGAGGGGGGAAAAAAAAGAAGTCATAGTAACCGACAAATATCAACATACCCCCAAACCCTCAGGGCAAAAGACAGCCGCTTAAACAATGACTGTTCTCTCCAGCTGGGTATTACTCACAGCCACTGACTAGGTGAGAGGAAGAGGGCTGGGGGAGAGTGGAAACAAGATGCTTCTGGAATCCATCTTATGAGTGAAGTTCCTGGTGGACCTGTTGCACACACTGATTCATTCAGCTGAATGTTGTCTTCCCAACCCAGTGCACTTAGAGCCCTCATTCCCCTACATCGCCTCAGAATCTGGAAGGGTGCTCTGCAATGCCTAGTAAATAACAGATTACCTGATACAATACCACCTCCAAAAAGATGGCTTTAATGTCAAAGTAAGTTGACTGTCTGGTCAAAGCTCCTTTTTCACTGCCTTCATCTCACTGAGGATGAGGATTTATGGTTTCTAAACCCACTTAAATTTTGCCTGATCTCAGCAGAGCAGCATTAAACCCAAAAGAGAGTAACAATTATTTTCAATTTCCTTCCTTATTCAGTCCTATTGTATTTTCTTCATAAGGTAGCTTGTTACTGACCCAGATGACCCCTGGTTAAGGGACAACACGTGTGTTTCACATATCATTTTTAAAAGTCACATTCCTTTTCCAACATTCCTGTCCTCTTGTAAAGCTTCATATGCTACCAATGTTTTGACCATTTAACTGATTTTGGAACATTAGACTAGCTCTTAATTCTAAAGTGTTAAAAAGAGTTTGGATACATCACAGCCACTAAAAATGGTTCCCACAAAACCTCAAGTATCTTTTATACCAGTAACTTAAAGGAAGAGTGCCTATACTTGCTTATAAAATTATCTCCCTAATGTGATAATGGAAAACTCTTTTTGATGCCAGCACTTCTCTTAAATCAGCTCCTACTGTTTTCAATCGAGGTCAGTAAAATGTGCAGCAGAACTGAAGGCCCCAGCAACTAAGCAGGTTCACTCCCGAGAGGCACGCTAATCACTCTCTGGGTTCAGTCAGCAGGGAACCAACACACAAGGTGAGCTCCAAACATATGTCCAGCTGTAAGGTGGATGGAAGGCTAGAGGGATGCTAGTTGTATCTAGTCTTTTTAGAGAATTATCATTTAACATTTCCAGAGAATGTAGTCAGGAGGTAAGTAAACTGAAAAAAACAAAGTCCTTACTTGGCTCCACAATTCACCTGTTACTAAAAACATTGAAGGTTAAAGGTGATATGCAGATAATCTACCTACAAGACAACCCACTGGGGCACCAATCCTCAAAGACACCATAACAGTGACTGAAAGGGATTTAGATGTAAGTTTCACTTACAAAATGTCCTGAGTATACTCCAGTAGACAAAAAGTCATGGGCCTTTTTTTACCCCCTGGAAGCAGCTAAACCTTAACCCTAAGTATTTTCTATGTGAGAAATCTAAAGCAATATTTGCTCTTCTAGTGAAACATACTCAGGCTAAACTATATAACTTTAAATTTGTGTTTTTATACTTTTGTATTGTTCCCTTAGTGCTTTTCTAGTACAGCACCGAGTTACCAAAAACTCACAGACTGCCCAAATATGAATACTGTGAGTTTTATATGAACTTTTTTCATATAAAAAAAGGTCCAGTGAGTCAGAAATAAATCACTGCTATATCTTGATAATAGTGTATTCATTTGGCAGAGAAGCAGCATGTCAGGCTTATTTTTTTTAAAAATCAATTTTCACAATGGTATAAATAAGTCAACACAGAATTACGAACGGTTGTCTGACAAGTAAAAATTCATCACCTCTAAAACTCCAAATCTGTATCAGGTATAAGGTACCTCCTCATTCATTCCAAAAAGGAGTGTATGCATATATCTATATGTAAATTTGAAGAAGGGCATACGGGAGGAAAGCACATGAAGTGAGTTTGCTCTTGTGAATTGCACAGGAGTTGAGGGGAAACTGGCTAAAGAAGAAAAAGACACTGCATAAGGAAAACTCACAGAGGAACAATCAAATTTTCAAAAAAATTACTTCCAGGAGAGAAGAAAAAAGGGGAGGGCAGGACTAGGGAGGAGTCTGAGAAAAAGAGGCAGAAAGACAAAGAAGAAAACTATGGGATGGAAATGCTCGAGCAAGGGCATGTGATAGAGAATGGAGCCTGGACGGTGCTGGCTGTCAGGAGGGGAACAGAGAGAAGGCAAACATTGCAATAATTCCAGCATCCCAGATTTTTTGCCCCAATTCAATAATAACAACAAAGTAAAAGCTGCTTGCATTACAGTATTCTTCTAAGACACTAGAGCAAGAAGGTTTTACTTTGCACTTACCCTGCAGTCATCTCTTTTACATAGGATTCATTCACTGCCTATAATAATTTATCTTAAAAGAGTATTTTCCCTCCAGGAAGCTGTTCAGATTTGCTGGCCACAGGTGTCTTGTATAACAAACTCGTCCCCATTTGTGTTCAACAGCCATGGCGCTCTTAAAAAAAAAAAAAAAGCTGCTTTCCCTGGGCAGGTGCCTGCACTTGTCAGATAGAACCAATACTAACCATTCCTCAAATCTAACCTGACGGTCTCTTCCACATATGCTGGGATAGCAACCTGGTAAGTGAAACGGCTTCCTGCAAAGACAACAGGAACCTCTGACAGGGACAGGCTAAGCCAATGCGTCACTCTGCCAAGAGAGGGGCAGCCAGCCTTGTCTTAAAAAGTCAGGTTTTGAAGCCCATTTTTACCTTTTCCTACTGACTTTTTGCATCTCAATTTTTCCAAAGGGAAAGCTGAGAAAGGCGATATTTAGCAAAGCAAAAGCATTCAGCCCTTTTCAGGAGTGAGGCATGACTGCTCCTAATAAGCCAACGCTGAAAACACACTGACAGGCAACTCTCCCCCTCTACTCTCAGATCTAGACATAGGTACTCTGCCTTGGAAGTCCTAATTTGCAACAAGAAAGAGAAATTTAGAGAGAAAAGCATTATGCATATATGAAAATCCTAAGAAAGCACTTTTGCTTCACAGAATAGCAGTTCTGTGGACCCAGGAGAAAGAAAGTAAAAATCCCAGGACACTCTTATGTTGCAGGGCACAAGCCCACGTATTTACAAAGGCCCATCTGCTTCCAGCTGACGTCCATCCCATTCCTCCATCTAGTTCACTGATGAATGTACATTTGGATGGAAGTCCACCAGGTCTCCCCACATACATCGCTAGTGTCACCAAATAACCTTTTCACCAGCCTCACTACAATACTCGCTCTACCTAGTGCAGGCAGAGAGACTTAGGAGCTGCTGAGAAGAAAGGAAAAGAAGGGGAGGTGGCTGCTGCTCTCAAACATGTCCTTCCAGAGACTCAGGAGCCACTGGCATGCCTTCAGGGCTGCGCTCTTCCTGAGGGAGCACCAGACCTCCCTTAGCATTCTCCGCTGACACACATGGCTGGCACTGGGTCCTGGCCAGCCACAGGGACACAGACAGCTCTCTGGGGCAGGGTACAGCACCACAGTGCACAAGCACAGGCCCAGAACAGTCAGACTAGAGTTGGCATCCTCCCCATCACCCAAGGCACTGAGTTTAGGTGCATACCCTTCCAGTCCAATCAGTGACAGGCAAGTGGTGGTGATAGTTGGCTGGCCAATTAATTTGTTTTCGCTGATGCTATTATAGGGTAAGAGGATGGGGCTGGGGAGCTAGTGAGGGATCTGAAGTACTACTGGTGCAAGTCTCCATCAGTAGTCCCCCCCCATTATAATCACAGGGTTAGAAATAGAACATCCATAACAAAAAAACATAACTTCCAGGACCTTTTCTGACTCTAAGCATGTCTAACCATCTAAGATTCTTATTCTTTCCAATACCTAACAATTGGCTTTGGTTCTGCTGCTATTATCCACTCCCTTCTGGGACGCTGGGCCAGCTTGAGGGTGCCACTTCAGGCAGGGACTCCAGGTGTTACTGCTTAGCTATCTGTCTTAAACTGGGGGTGGTAATGCATCAGATGCTCTCCACCATTCTTGTCTGTGAGACAGACAAAAAAGCCAAATGGCAGGGGCCTGCTTCACCACAAACCTTGAAAACCTTCTGAAGGGACCAACCAAGGAAACCAAAAAGTGGCTTGTTCCAATGGCTTTTCCCAATAACAGTCTGACTGGACTAGGGCAGTTACCTACAGGGGCTATACCAGGCAACCATGTGACAACCAATTAGATACCTTAAATCTGCCTGAAAGGCCAGGTGGCCTGCGATCTTGGGGTGGCTTCTAGGCTTGACTTGGATTCTCCTCAAGCTCAATCTGCCTGATGATCTGTATTGAAGGAGGACAGAGCTGAACAAAGAGACTGACAACTGCCCATTCCCCGCAAGGGGCCTGAAGGGCAGATGGGACTGGGGTTGGAGAACACCCACATGGAGGAACAGAGCTAATAATTATAGCTCAAGGTGGCTAATCTTAGGGGTAGGGGGTGAGGAACCAGTATAAGAATTTTTCCTTCTCTCCTTTTGGGACTGAATCCCAACATTCTTATAGTCCTCTTTGGGTGCTTGGAAACCACCCCACGGCTTGGAAACCAGCCCCAACAGCACAGCTATTTTGTAGGGATGTTCTTACCGTCAGGAACTTCATCTGGCCTCTTCCTCTTTTCATACACAACAATGATCACCACAAGGATGATGATTTCCGCCAGAATTCCCAGGAAGGGCCAGAGTGGGGCCAGGTGGCTCCGTACCCTGAGGATGGTGACAACGGAGGCAGAGCCAATGGAGTTGGTAGCATTACATTCATACTCGCCAGGATCTTCTGTGATCTGCAGGTTTGTGATGCTCAGCTCAGTGTAATTCTCCCTGTTGATGATGATGAAGCGGCCAGAGGTATTGACAATCTCCTGCTCAGAAGCAGATAAAGTGACAACACACAAAGATCAGAGTAGGTGAATTAGTGCCCAATACAGGGCAACACTAACATCCTTAGCAAGACACTGGACAGGATCAGGGAGCAGTGTCTAGTACCATCTTTGTTCAAGGGACTTTGAGTACTTGATCACTGACTGCCCTTCAATCTCAACAACCAGTCAACAATCTTCTAGCAGAGCCAAGGTAAAAGTCTTCCCTGCTGTTGGTCCTCTGGACTTCTCCAACTTGTATGAAGTGAAGGGAGGTCCTACCCTGTAGACCCAGAAAAGACCAACTCAATTTAGAAGATGCTGCTCCAAACACCAGGCAAGAAACCATAACCAGGCAGAGGATGGAGAAGGGGTGTGAGCTCCATGGTCAGGCATGTATCTGGTAACATCAGGCCTATCTGATGCCTTCAGAGTCAGCATATCTACTTCACGCTTGGTGAATTCTGCAAAGTCTCCCTAAACTTCCTCTAGAAACAATGTTAAGAACTTGCTCCTAGTCAGAGTGGGGGAAATTCGTAACTTCCACTTCCTTTCAGAATTACAGGGTTAAAGGAAAGTTTATTCAATCAGTCAACAGATATTTACATTAGCATGTTACATGTTTTATATCCTACCTAAGGGGAAGGTGAGCTAGAAATGGAAAAGCATGACACAAAAATGAACATGGAGATTGACCTCAAGAGGGAACCAGACCCCCAAAGGGATGGTTAAAGGAACATGTAAGAAGCCCCAACAGAGGGTACGTATAGAGCCACATTGCACTGAGGGAGTGGACACTGCTGGAAAGAGTCAGGGAAAGTTGGAGAAAAGCTAACATTTGAACTAGGCTGTGGGGGAGGAGACCTGCTCAAGCAAGACAGGAGTGCTCCAGGCACGTGTGGGAAGGCAGAGGTGAGAGTATGACCAGGTGTTTGGGTGGAGCTGGGACAGGTTTGCAGCACTGATCTCATGGGCTACTAGCAGGGGAAAAATCTGACTCATGTGTCAGTTCTTATGCAGCAACTAAAGGATAATCAGAAATAGTAGAGAGGAAAGGCAAAGATAATCCCCAGAATGATGTCTAGCTATAGCATAAATCATGTCTGTGTTTGAGTGTGGGTATGACTGGAATGGGAAACTCACAGCCTTCAAAATTAGTTATTCTGTGAAGCTTCAACCCTAGAACTTGAAAAGCTGCCAACTTCTCTCACTCCTGCTCTACTCACTCACTAATTCCATGTTTTTCACTTATGACCTGAGGTGATTAGTGAGTGTGACCTTTGGTCCACAAGCCTTCAAAGGGTATTTTAAAAATACCGTCATATGCAAGAAACTTCCGTGGTTTTGCCACTAATTTACCTTGGTTAATATGTATAACCTTCCCAAAGAAGCTGGATTAAATGATCTCTAGGGTCCCTTCTGATTCTGAAGACTGGCAGTCAAAGAGGATGCCTGAAAAGTAGACTGCTAGGCATACAAAGCCTGGGGAAGAATGTATGACAGCCCCTCTGATAGAATAGGAGACCGGCCAAGCATTAATCAGAGAGAAAGTGAGAGTCGAAAGTTTTGACTCTCCCATACCATCAAGAATCGTCCCACAGATTGGAAAAGATGTTTTCTTTGACCTTTTCTGGAGCAGATACTGTCAGATTTCCAATGTCTAAGGCTGCCCATGGGCCTCCTTAGATTGTCTCAATTCCTAATCAGTATTTCATGTGTTCCAGGAATATACTATTAATTGCTCTCACTGCCTTGCCTTCCCAAAAAAACAAGAAAAGTACGTTAAGACCACTTTATGAGCAATATTTTCTTTAGGATAAATGTACTAGAATAACAGTAAAATTTTAAGATTGGGGTTAGCTCTTCTTGGTGTCTTATCTTGAAGGTAAACAGCCAAATCCTTTACCAGACAGACAGCTTTAACAAATCACGTATAGGGGTTCCATGCTGGTCAGAGACTGCCAATGACCTCCAGATTCATGATGTAACCACCAAGACTCTAGAAAGGGTGACCCAAGCCACGGCAGCCAGTATGGCAGGTTGCAGAAACTAGTCCAGATGTCTAGAACTCCCCAGGAGAAACTCCAGCAACCACAGAGACCCATGTATAGAGAACCAGGGCTGCCTCGTACTCACCATGGGCATACCGTTCTCCTTCTTGCGCCAGATCCACTCTGGGTAGGGGTAGCCAACTGACTTGCAGTACATCATGGCATCCTGCCCTTCATTCTTGTTCTCACTCCGTTTATGGCCAGTGATGTCAGGAGCAGCTGTGAGAAAGAGAGTTGAATACAGTTACCATGGGAGCCTAAGCTGAACAGGATACAAAAGGCCCCAACTATTGGCTCAGAGCCCTGCTTCTCCTTAGACCCACTCTCATATTCAGCTTTGATAACATGCATTTCAGGTCAGAACAGAGCAATGGAACCAATTCCTTGCCCTAACCTCCCACCCACCAAAGCAGACACCAGGATTACTATATGTGAAGTTCTACTAATAATACAGGTGGTTCTCCAACCTACTGGAAGAGAGCACAGGTGCAACTGCATAAATTAAGCCATCCTTTAAAGAAAATGCAAACAGAAGCTATTACCTTCTCTGCCAGTCATGGTTTTTTCTTAATACACCTACGTTAGCAATAATTATATATTGTATCAAATGCCATATATTCCCTTAAGGAAATGAGAGATCCCTGAGATCAAACACCTAAAATCAAGTCCTACTGCAAGGTATATAAAAACAATGACTGCTTGGAGAAGCTACATGATGAGTATCAATGGCCAAGCCTCTCCCAGAAAAGAGGGAATGAAGCAAACTGGTCTTCACAAGGGAAGAAAGAAATGAACAGGAAATTCAACCAGCGTCCCAAGAGATTTTATTAACAGCTTAAGAATCTGATTTATATACCTGATTTGCAGTTATCTCAATGAACCCAATCTTAGGGGAATTTCTAGACATGTCAGAAGCTGCTGATTTTCTCTGCTTTTAGGGATAACTTAGAAAGAAATAAACAGCACCTGTGGTTTAAATATTAGATAAGTTTCAAGGATCCAATTAGCCTGAGATAGGGGCTAATTCTTTGAATTTGGCCTTCTTTGATCTTAACTGTATTTTCCACCTTACCGCATCAGTTATACTAATCCAAAAGCAATAAAACTCAAAGTAGGCCAGACGTCACTTTGCTGGCGAAGATGGGAAGGAGAATCAATAGGCCTGGTCCAAATTCCAGTTTTGCTGGTTATTTAATTATTCTGTGCTTGAACTCTATACCCCATTATCAAATGGAGTTATTTCTAGCCGCTGCCTATATCCAGTGTCTTGCATAGATAGATCTCAAAATATTCATTTTGAGACTGTAAAAACCTGTACAATTGTATTATATCATGGGCTGACCCCATGTTTCCCTTCGGACTGGCTTGGCTTTTCTTGGCTTAAAAATAATCCAACATCCTGCTACTCCCAGACTGTGCTTCCCAGACCACCTCCTGAGGCACCTGGATAGGAAAAGAATGAGCAAGGCGCCAAGCCATCTCCACAGCCTGCCAAACTAAGGCCTGCAGTACTACTCAGCATGAGGTGTTTTCTAGATATAAAGGAAATATCTGTTTTTCCAGGCACAGTTCCTCACTACAGAAGGGAATGAATCAGGCTGGCTCAAATTCCCATCACACCAAATTTCTCCCACAGCCAGTCAGTCACTGTTCAACCTGGTCACCTTCCTCAAAGCTTCCTTCAATCAGTACATATTAAGGCCCATCTTAAGCACTCCAAGGAAGGAACACACTCCACAGCCATACTTAAACACCATCATGGGGGAGTAGGGAGATACAACAAGCAGAAGAGCTACATTTTGCCTCTAGTTGTGTTTCATTCATTGGACAAACATCTGTTGAGCACTCGTTACATGCCAAATACATGACAGTGGTAGGGGAAGGCCATTCTGATGAGGTGAATTTTAGCACAGTCATGAAGAAAGTAAGGGCGTAGGCTACATATATCTGCGGGAAGAACACTCCAGGTAGAGGGAAAGGCAAAAGCTCTGAGGCAGAAGCGTGCTTGTTATGTACAAGGACAGCGTGGAGGAATTTGCCTGAAACACAGGGGGACGATGGTAGGAGACCAAATCAGAGAATGGAGCCCAGATTGGATAGGACTTTGTAGGACAATGAAATTACTTTGGCATTTACTCTAAGTCAGCTGGGAAGCCACTGGTGAATACTAAGTGCAGGTGTGAAATTATCTGTATGCTTTAACAGGCTCCCTCTGGCTACTATGTGGACAAAAATTGTAGAGACGATAGTGGAAGCAATCCAGGCAAGGGGGAGAGGGTCGTATGGATGAAGGCAGTAGCAGTAGAAGTGAGGAGATTCTGGATATATTTTATAGGTTAATATATTTGTTAACCGACTGAATGTGGAAAGTGAGAGAAAAAGAAGTCAAAGATGATCCCAAGGTTTCTCGCCTGAGTAACTGCAAGAATGGAGTTGACAGTTACTGAGATGAGGAAGACTGAGAAGAATTAGCATTTTTTTTGGTTTGCTTGTTTTTATTTTGTTTTGTTTAGGGATGGAGCAATCATGGTAGTAAAAAACCAGGAGTTCAAAGTTTAGGACATGTTAAGACTTATTTAACATCCAAGTGAAGTTGTTAAGTAGGCAGCTGAATATCAAGTCTGGAGCTCAGGGAAATGGTAGAGACGTAACTTTCAGAAATCAGCTTACAAGTGATGTATTTTTCCACTTTCATTCTCCTTTGCCCCACAGAGAATACTCACTCTATTTACTCTGGCCCAGTTATGTGACTAATTCCAATGTATTGTGAATTCACTAACATCAGCTTTTGCCTTGGAGACTCATCCCTAAGATTACACATAAGAACCACCTAGAAGGCTAAAAGCTGAGTTGGTTTATGGCTCCACAGTCTCTAAAAAGCTACTATTCTTGAAGGCCAAGACCTGGGGAGACAGGTGGGGATGGCCTTCACTCCTGCCTTGGTGCTCAGGAGAACACCAAGTCCTCCTTTCATTCATCTACTTCCAGATTCTATAGAGGCTTCTATTTACAGATAGGAAGGCGCCTTAAAGGCTACTGTGTGCAGAGACTACACAGGAACTTAGTGTGCATCCCCACTCCGCAATTTATTGGCTATGTTTACATAGTGAAGCCTGTTAAGAGTTTTCAATGGTTATTACATCTACTGCTGCTTTCTCCTCAACTCAGCAAAGAATACTGAGTGAAGCTTGGGAATGATATCCTCAAAAGAATAATGCCCTGATTATTCACCCTTGAACTGGTGGAAGTATCACTAGTGTACCAGGAAGACAGAAGATTAACCCAAGTCACATCACTCTAACCGGATAAGGAATGATTATAACAACTATCACTTTAGCCTCTGGGTCAATGAAGTTTTTTCACTTCTCTCTGTCCTTTATGGTTGCTGCTCAATCAGAAAGCCTGTTCCTGCCCCACCAGCTGAGCAAGACAGCAGACCCACAGCAAGAAAGGTAACTAGGCTCTCAGAGCACATGTCAGCAGTGGTCAGAGAGGGGGGCCCCTTAGGGCTCAGAGTCCACCTCTTAAATAGTACACAAATTCTTTGATATTCTTCCCTTTAAGAGGTAGAGCCTAATTTCCCTCCTCTTGAGTGTGGGCTGGACTTAGTGACTTGATTCTAAAGAATAAAATATAGCATACATTTTATATATTTATAAAATATGTATTTTATATATTTTTCCTATATAGAACATGAATCAATATATAGAAAAATATATCTATATGTAAAAATAAAGGTGTGCAAATAGTTCACAAAATACAAAATGGCTTCCCTTGCCCTCCTTCCCTCTCGCTCTCTTCTCTCGCTCTCACTCTCTCTCTCGGAACACACGCTCTGGGAGGGGGAAGCTGCCATGCTAGGAAGACACTCAAACAGCCTATGAAGAGGCCCACGTAGTGAGGAATTAAGGCCTTCCGCCACAGCCTGAGGCAGCCATCTAGCCCCAGCCAACTGGAGAGACCCTGAGCCAGAACCACCCCACTGATCTGCTCCCCAATCCCTGGCCCACAGACACTATGAGGTAATAAGTATTTGCTGTTTTAAGGCAATTTATTGTGCAGCAACAGGTAACAAATATAACCACCCAATGAGGCAGACATTACCCAATTTTTATAAGTAAGAAAACTCAAGTTTGGTAAAGTTTGGTAAAGTTATTTAACATCTAAAATTATGCCACTAGTAAATTCTGGTATAGCCAGAATCCAAATTCAGGGCTATCTGACTCCAGAGGCCATGTTTTTTGAACTTTACCATATAGAAGGGGAAATAACCAAACTAGAACAGAGTCCATAAACAATAAAAATATACAATATGCATTACTGGTAACTGCACAGCAAACTGCCCAAATGTTATCTTTGCTTGTAGATGTACTAGAACGCTCTAGACCTAAGGTGGGACTGATTTATCTGTCAGAGTTCAGCTACTTCATAAACTATAATGTAAAGAGTTTTAGACTTAAGTTAGAGAAATTTGGCTCTACTGAGACTCTGTTACTCACTGAATAACCTAAGGTGGGTCATTTAAAATCCTTTGGGTTTCAATATTTACTTTTGTAAAATGGGAATAAAATACCCACACTTCATAGAGGTCTTACGAGGATTAATTTACGTCTCTGTATCAATCTAGCACAAGATTGGAGCCCAGGGTCAAAAATAAACATTTAAATTGCATTATTAGTTAGTTAGGAAAGGCTAAGACAGGCATTATGAGTTCTAAGAAATCAAAAAGATGCTGATTATTATGTGTTTTCTCCCTATTTGCTAATATAAACCGGACTTTTTGTTTGTGGCTCTAATAAGGTTTACTCAGGTCAGATACTGACAAATTATACTGATTAATGGCCTATTTATATTGATTATGGTGCCTCACCTTATGTGGGCTTGCCACTTAATAAGGACCTACTTAACTAGGTCCTGTTGGTCTGCAGGTAGGTCTGAGGAGTCAGACAGAGCAAATACTGCTTAATTCCCTTTACCTTCTCAGGGAGGCACAGACTGGGTAGCAAAGAAGTAACAGAGATCCTTAGAAGAGATCACACACCCACTTGGGAATTAACTCATGATCTGGCCTTGTTAGCTACATACTCTAATCCCATGAGTTAATGGATGGACCCTTCCAGTATCCTAATAAATGGCAACACCGGGGTTCCAAAACAGTCTTAGTTACCCACCAACACCTGACCCAATGTCATTATCTAGGCCTTTGGCTGAGGACAAAG